GATCATAGTTCCGAGGTCTGGTGTCCATTGAAGTGGTCATGAACTCCAAGGGCATGAACTGAATGAAGTGATTCTCAAAAACCGCATGCTCTTCAACCACATAGACCTGGGGGTGTCCTTCATGGCATTCATGTCCCCGTGTAAGGAAATAGACAATGTCCATCACATAGTGTCCTTTGGGGTTCACCTCCAGTTGATAGATCTCAGGTTGTGGTTCATGAGAGTCCAAGGCAAGTCCGGTGGCGAAATCGATGACCATCGAAGAACGTGTTCCCGACAAATGGTCCATGCCGATCAACACCGGCACCATGGATGAGGGCTTGAACGATGGGTCGTGCATGTCCGACGGATTTGGTAGTGCATATAGTTGAAAATGATGTGGTCTACCCGAAACGGACGATGTCATCGAGACACGATACAAAGCCCTTCCCCACTTGCCGTTCCCGAATCGAAAATGCGGCCTATCATCCTTGCGGACTTGAATCACTGCCTTGCTGTCCTTGGCAAGGATTGCAGAAACCAAGTTCTCTACGGCCAACTGGGGACCGGCAGATGCCGTCGCCCCGCAATCCAGCAAACCATGTGTTGCCGGCAAAGAAGGCGCAGGCTGTGGCGCTCCGGCCTCTTGGGCCTGCATCTCAAGGCCACCAAAGAAGACTTCAGAGTTGTAGGCATTGACAGGTGGTCGAGGGCTCGGACCTTTGCCTTTGAAGCGTGTCGAACTGCCCTTGCCTTTGTGCCAGGCTTGGGCTTCCATCCAATGAGCTTGTTTTCCTTTCTTGCCACCCTTCTTGCCCATCATGAAGTCCTCCATCATGTACGGGTCATACTCCGTCATGTAGTGGTGTTTGAACTTTCCTTTTCCCTTGAAAGGACCAGGGTGTCGACGGTCGGGGCACTCGCGAGACAGGTGAGGTCCATTGCAAATGAAACAGGGGCCACGGCCTTTTCCCGATGTGGGAGCAGCATGTCCAAAGCCGCGATCACGTCGAAGGGCCGCCGTGGCCTTCTGGGCATCTGCCCAAGATCGTTGAGCTTCCAAGGCCAGAGATTCGGCCATCTTCTCGGCTTTCTGGGCCTCCTTGATCTCATCATCGTCCTCGGCCTGGTCGACCTTGTCATCCACAGTCTCGTGGGCATAGTTGACCTCAGACCAATCCCATGAGGGCCAATCGTCACCTTGCCATTCAGCTTGAAAGGCATCCCATGACCAATCATCATGATGAGGTTCAGGATCTTCCACCACGGCCATCTCGTGCCAGTTGGAGACGTGCGACACCTGAGCTCGAGCACCAATGAACTGTTCGTCCCAAAGAGTCTGCAAGGCACGGCTCACCTCCTCAAAGTCCAGGGAACCATGAGTTGCCGAAAGGATGTCGCGACGCTCCTCAGCTGACAGTCCGGCCGATTGGAGAAGCCGGAACCCCCTAAGGACTCCAAGCACAAAGGAGTCAGCGAAGCTCAGATCTGACAGATCATCAGCGAGGCCAGATTGAGAGGGTTGTACTCCAGCTGAACGTCGGCTGGGCGAGATGTCCTGTGGAACTCGATGATATCCACCATGTTGAGGTGAACCACTTTCAGCAGCAGCTCTGGTCGAAGCGCTCGGCAGGGATGTTGGTTGAGCCGTCGGTGCATTGGGGTCGAAGTCACCCGCCTCAGGCTGTTCAACGTTCTCATCGTCGAGCGGCCACTCAGTCCTCATAGTCAGGCTCTTCTGGAGGCAAACCAAAGTCCTTATCCTCCTGCTTCACACCTCTCTTCTCCTCAGCCAATCTCACCAAGGCCTCAACGAACTCGCTGTAGCCAAGAGCCTCTCGGACGAGGAAAGACGTCATCGCCTCGTGAGGCTTTCGTTGGAAGCCAAAGTATTGACCACAAATGGCCGAGGCATTTGGGATCGATCTCCTCACAAGCGGGGAGGCAGCTAGCCTCTGCAGGAGAACCTTCGTGCCGTCATACTCGTCCAGGGCCATGTCGCTCCATGACATCGCAAGCAGCCTTGCTGGTCCCGTCAGGCGACTCAGCAACTTGGTAGCGACATATCGCCGCTTGGAGATGGGCGTAGCCCTGAAGTACCATGAAACCTCCCGCGTGTAGCGGCGCCAGCTTTTGGCAGAGCCGTCCCAGGAAGGGACAGAGAAAGCATCCTTGTCGGCCATCTTGACCAAACTCCAGGGGGAAAATCTTCAGCAAAAAAGGGCCTTGCCGTGCAAGGTCAGGAGAAGTGCAAAAAGGGGCAGTAGCTAGCCACTCAACCAGTCTCAGCGAAGACCTTCTTGAACGTGTTCAGGATGTAGTGGCGAAAGCTGCAGAGGTCGCTGGAGCAACGTGCTCCGCTACCATGTAGCGGGTGGAGCACAAGTGGAGCGTATCGAGGGGCTCAAACACAAAGTATGAACGAAGTCCGGACAGCCGCAATGGCTACGATTTTCCGCCGACCGCAGTGGTCGAGTCAGCGCTCGAAAAGGGGCCCCTGGATTCGGGCCAAGTGGCATGGAAAAACATGGATGCAACAAAAGCTCAAGCTCAAGGCCATGGAACCTGCAGAATCCTTAAGAGTAGAAGAAACGACCCGAAATGAACCAAGTAGGTCCAGCTGATGTTCGGCTGGTTTGGCATGCACTCCGGAAGCACGAAAACATCGGATCACAGCGGGGTTTGTTCGTTTCTAAGGACTAAATACAGCGGTTCTTGACCTTTTCATGTAGGGAACGACTTCTAAACTTGGATACGCGGTCCAGTGAATCATGGAACCTATTCCCCAGAAGGGGATTCACCCAAAGGGAAAATCATCCTAAGCAAAACCAACTGAACACGGACATATGTTTCCACCCATTTTGGTCCAAGAGCCTAGCCAAAAACAACAAACAAGTGGGCTGCGAGTGATATACCGCAATGTGAACAGAAGGATTCGTTAGACTTGTTCTTCGCGATGACCACCACACTTTACTTGTAAAGAGTCGTGTTTTACTGGTGTGGTCTTCTGACCGCCACGTGACTTCAGGGCTCTACCCATACACCATGGTTGTGTGCGAAATGCATTGATCCAGCTGCATGTTGCAGGCGGTGTGGATCTGACTCGCACATGCACCATGACCTTGGGGATATATCAGGCAACCGGCATAGACCACAAGTAGCAACTAACTCTTAGAACAGAAGCACCGGAGACAAGCAAATCACGCAGTTCACAAAACGTCAAAAAGTGGGCAGACAAGCAAGACAAGGCAGCAGCGGCAAACAAAACGTCAATCACACAGGCAAATAGATTAGGAGACAGGTTCGGAGACGTGTAAGGAGACAAGCAGGGAGACGGGAGACAAGTAAGGACACAAGGAAGCAGCGGCAGACAACACGCCGATCAGACAAGCAAACATTGGAAAGACAAGTTGGAAGACATGTAAGGGGATAAGTGGGGAGACAGGAAAGGAAACAAGGTATCAGTGGCAAACAAAATGCCGATCACAGGCAAACAAGTGGGGAGACAAGTAAGGAGACAAAGTATCAGCGGCTGACAAAACGCCGATCACACAAGCCGACAAGTGGGGAGACATGTAAGGGGATAAGAGGGGAGACATGTATGGAAACAAGGTATCAGCGGCAAACAAAGCGCCGATCACACAGGCAGACACACAGGTGGGGAGACATGCAAGGAGACAAGAGGGGGAAAGAAGTAAGGAGACAAGGCAGCAACAAACGAGGGTAGCAGACCTTAAGCAGCTCAAAATCTATCTGTGCTACACCGCTAGACAGCTCCGCTGCAGTACAAACACCGAAGTCCCGCTAAGAATCACAAGAATGTACGGTAATATGATTATGGCAACGCGGAAAGACAACTGGTGGCATCAATCTCTCGGAAAGCCCTGTGCTTTTTGTCGAACTTGTCAACGGCTGACCTTCATGGCTGACCTTCGACCCGTTCACGGCTGACCTTCGATCCTCACAAAGGATTCGCTCCGCTACCATGAGCTGAGATTTGCTCTCAAATCATCTCAAATCACGTGGTGACCCTGTGTCACAGGGTTCAAAGCTTAGGCACGCTGAAAACACTGTTCTCCTGATCCCTGATTCAAGTCAGGTTCACTGAGCTAAGGAAAAACGGCTGCAGTAAAACTCAAACAAACTATGAATCATACATATCTACAGATCATCTACCTAGACATGTAACTGGTGCTACCTGATCAAACGACACCAACCACAAGCAGCAGCTCCTGGAGGAAACTACTTGCCATGACGTGTCCGCGTCTGCGTCCTGTTTGGCTTCGCGTGTCACTTCTTTGGGCTTCAGTCTTCCGTGCAGTAGCATCCCATAGCTGAGCTCATAGATGTCATTTTGGGCGCTTGCAGCTGGGCGCTGGTCCGGAGCAGTTCAGCGTCCAAAAATCGCCCCAGGCGACTGTTATGGATCACCTGTGTACACTTGTAGCACAGGCTCCCTTGGAACTGCAGGAACATATCCCGTCTTCACATCTGTAGCTTGCTGTGCTTCCTCAGAGCGCACGAGAATGGATGTGAATGGCTCGATTGCGGGACGGGCTTCCCGAGCCCGTCGAACCTTCATCAAGATGGAACAGGCGCCTCATCGTGCAAGTTTGCCCGGCGCCTCATCGTCCTCTTTGGTGAAGGTACGATCGCAGGGTAGTGTTTTCAGCTTTCGCCATACGCGAAAGGTCTCTTCTGAGCGAAAAGGGATTCTTGCTCCCGCGACAAACCACTGCCTAAAAGAATGACTGGTGCAAAAAGGGCTCCAGCTTGCCCGAATCAGCATGCTCAGGGCATCATGCTGGTCCTTGGCAGTTGATCCGCTAAGCATTGTGAGCTTTAATACGCTTTTATTAATCAGTTGATATCAGTTGTAAGTTGTAAGACGTATTAAGACGCTGTAAGCGCCAGCCATTCAAAGCAAACAGGTGAGCGAATCGGATGAAACGTGCCTGAGTCAAACACTGCCGGCGCAACAAACACGCTTCCGTCGACCGAAACTCCACTCAGCGTCCCACACGTCCCACGCCAGCACCGCAATCCAACACGGTGCCAAAGGTCACCGGCGGAGTCAAGGTTTTCTTCAGGGCCTGGTCAAAGGTGGCGGAACGGCCGAGAGGAGCCTGGCCTTATTTGGATCTTCATCTTGCCCTACTGGCACCTTCTGAGTATCTCGGTGATGCGTTCAACACATTTGTATACATCTGAAATATAATATTGCTATATATAATATATCATATATATATAGGCACCAGGAATCAAGGTCCAGGCGCACCAAACCTGAGGTACGGTGGATCCGTGAATCTCTAGGGTTGGAGTGGACATTGGCATGCCAGGGAAGGTACGGTGTCTGACGTGCGTGACGACTAGATGGTCCAGGAGCCCTAGGGTTCTGGGGTCCAAACATTTGGAAAAGGTGCTCATAAGTCCGATCCCATCGACCCTGAAAACCACTGGTGCAGCTAGAAGATCCGAAAACTGTCAGACTGAGGATGCCACAATCCACCTGGGTCCATGGACTCATTCATCTGGTTTAGGACGGGAAATGAAGAAAATTGGTGTTTGCCCGTTGGGCGCCAACCGTTTCCCGGCAAGTGGTTTGCAGCTTCAAAGACCTGGGTGAGCTTTTTGGCGACGTTGCACAGGCCTCGTAGCCTATTCAGTTCGCTTTCAGTGGGGCAAACCAGGGTGCCCCCGCTTTTGACCCGAAGCCTCTGAACTTCTCTGGACCCATGCTCCAGTTTCATGTGAGTGCATCAAAGGGTATACTTTCCTTGGATGCTACAAGAGTTGACCTGCAAGCCTATTTGGGGCAGTCCCATGGTCCTGCTCCTGTCATTTCCTTCCATCACGTAAGAACTTGCCCCAAACGCCGCCGACCAACGCACTGACCACTGCTGGGCCTGCAAAAAGCGCTTGGAGCCCTTGAGGTCTGGGCCGTGTGTCTCAGGCAAGCCTCCTCGATCAGTTCCCAATGGCCGGGCGCAAGTGAGGTGGATCAGAGGGACACCCTACTCGATGCTTCCGTGCGCAACGGTGCGTAAATCTCCCAATCAAATATACTTTCGGTTGGTTCCTGGACCTAATTCATGAATGCAGTTACTGCATTTATCACTATAGTCATCTATAGTCTCTTCATGTTCAGGCAATTCCGCTCTCCGCTCTCCTAGGACGCCATCATCGTTGGCTTCGGCGCCGGCCCAGTAGTCTTGCACCTAGGTGGGGAGTCATCATCGGCCACCAACAGGTTGAGGTGGACCATTGGCAGTATGGCTGTTTTTGGTACCTTTCCAGGACTATGGGAAAAACAGTATAGCCATTTTTTGAAGTACAGCATACGTCGAGCCGCTTTTAATTCATTACTATTCATAACTGAAAAGAAGCAGGACCATAGTTTCTAGCAAATTATGTTTCTTCCCCCAACGATCAAAGCCATGAAAGCAAAACCGACCTTCTTTGAGTCTTAGAGAGCCCTGTTGCGTGGCTGCCATGCACGCCATGCATAAGAAATGCAGTGGCCAACCTGATGCTCGCAGGACCTTGCAAGCATCCGCGAATCCGCTACCAGCATCTCCTGAACTCTTGCAGTGGGAAAACAAATTCAACGGGAAATTCTGCGAGCCACAACAGTGCCAAGAGAGGTTATAAGTGACCTTATAGCCTTATAGCACCCTATTGAGGTACCGAACTGGGATAGTCGAACAGTCGGGTTCTTCAACCTCTGTTGCTGTGCGCGGCCACTTGGTGATTCAAGGCAGCAAACCTCGACACCTCGGAGGTCGCACCACCACGGCCACTTGCTTCGGCCCCCCCCCCGCCACACAGACTCCACAATTGCACCCACCTGTAGACGTCTTGGTTCTTCAAAGGTGACCGAACTTGATATCCTGATTTGAGGTGGTCAATTGCTTCGATCTGTGGCTTCCCACCGTTGGTTCCTTAACAAATTTGAGCCCTATGTTCATACCAAAGCAAAGGCGCAACCAGTCATCATCTGCAAACACAGTCGCCAAAGTTGGTTACCTGAGACATATATTGCTGATCTGATAAGGGATGTGGAACGAAGCAAATACGTAATTTCCCTGTTGATTTCAGGCATGTGGATGTCGGCCCACATTGCTGGTTGAGGCGCACGTTGGTACCAGGTGGCCCTTTTTGCACGCCAGAAGCTCTTCATGTCGGCATAACAGCGCCCTCCCAAAGGCCCGCGTCGCGCGGAGTCAGCCCCGCTAGTGACGACGGCGCAGCGGGGGGGGGGGCGTGGAGCGGGTCCGTCCGGGGGCTCTGTTCCATAGACTATAGACTATCTATCCCATAGTCTATAGGGTCACCATAGGACCAACAGGAGGTTTTCAGAACCCTATAGACTGTTCCCCCAGGTGACCGGTATATGGTCCTATCAGGTCGCTGAAACCGGGATTCCAGTGCCTCCTCGTTGGTTTGTGAAGCAAAAAAACCGATGTTCTTCCAACCCAGTGACTCGCTGCATGTTCAAACCAGTGACTCGCCGTTGTTTTGAACAGCTCAGTAACTGATCTGAACAGCTCGGTTGCTGAGCCAAATGTCCATGGCGTTCAACGTGAAACTGAAACGCAAGAATCTCCAGCGTACGTGGTATGTAAAAAATGTAGGGCTCCTGGCCGCCCCCTCCGTTTCGAAGATGGGCCAGGGTGGTTGGTGGGTGCCAGGGTGGTCTAACCACCTGAGGGTATGGTCCAGGAGCCCTATAGGGAAAGAAGATTCCAAAGCAACTCTACTTGGAATTGACTGTCGACTCACAAACCAAAACCCTCTGCCTCAGGCAGTCTAGATGGTGGAATCGTGCCTCCATGCTGGTGTGGGATTGCCGGGTGGATGCCAGCAAGGATGTTGATAGGTCAATCGCCAAAGACCATAGCACACACTGACCCCAGTTTAGAATGGAGGTCATATAACACATATGTACAGCTTAACTGTTCACCACCTGTTGGATTTTGAGATATTTTCAGTGGGGTATCCCCACTGGTATCCCCCTGGTGATCCCCCATGTCAAAGGCTGTTCGGTTCATCAACGAACAGCTTTTACCACACCCCGGTCCCGGCGCGTCCCCGGCGCCGCGCCTGTGCTATCAACGCCCGGCACGGCTTTGAGGACCCTGTCGCGCCGCCGACGCGACCGCCCGGAGATGCGCCGAAGACGAAACCGACTGAGGAAGATTGAGGAAGACTCAGGAGACTGAAGAAGAAGTGTCGCATTTTGTTTACTTTTTTTTAGCTATTTTTTAAAGGCTGCAAAACTAAAAAACTAAATATTTACTTTTTTAGTTTTGCGGCCTTTAAAAAAGAAGGTCGCAAAACTAAAAAAAGTAAATATTTAGTTTTTTTATTTTTAGTTTTGCGGCCTTTTAGTTTTTTTAGTTTTGCGGCCTTAAAAAAAAAAACAACTAAAAAAACTAAATATTTAGTTTTTGTAGTTTTGTTAGTTTTTTGAGAATTTCTAAATACCTGTAAACTTCGAAACCTGAAGGACTTTGTTGTTTTAGTTTTTTTAGTTTGTTTAGTTTTGCGGCCTTAAAAAAAAAAAAAAAACTAAAAAAACTAGAAAAACTAAATATTTAGTTGTTTTTTGTTTCCTTTTTTAAAGGCCGCAAAACTAAAAAAACAAAAACAACTAAATAGTTACTCTTTTTAGTTTTGCGGCCTTAAAAAAAAAATAAAGAACTCAAAGTTTTTGTTTTTTTTAATTCTAAATACCTGGAAACCTCGAAACCTGAAGGATTTAGTTTTTTTTGTTGTTTTAGTGTTTTTTGTTTTGCGGTTTTCTTTAAGGCCGCAAAACTAATAAAACTAAAAAAACTTAAAAAGAAAACTGAATATTTACTTGTTTTTAGTTTTGCGGCCCTTAAAAAAACCTAAAACACTAAATATTTCAAACAAAATAAATATGTACTTTTTTTAGTTTTGCGGCCTTTTAACAAAAAACTAAAAAAACTAAAAAAGCTAAATATTTAGCTTTTTTATTATATTTTTGAATTTCAAAATACCTGTAAACCTCGAAACCTGAAGGATTTTTTTTTTTGTTTTTTTAGTTTTTTTAGAATTTCTAAATACCTGGAAACCTCGAAACCTGAAGGATTTTTTTTATAAGTTGTTTTAGTTGTTTTCTTTAAAGATCGCAAAACTAAAAAAACTAATATTTTGTTTTTTTAAGTCTATTTTTTTAATAGGCCGCAAAACTAAACAAACTAAATATTTAGTGGTTTTAGTTGTTCCTTTTCTTTAAATGCAGCAAAACAAAAAAAACTAAATATTTAGGTTTTTTCGTTTTATTTTTTATATTTTTTAGGCCGCAAAATTAAAAGACTAAATATTTAGTTTTTTTAGTTTTTTGGTTGTTCTTAAAAGGCCGCAAAACTAAAAAACAAAATATTTAGTTTCTTTTTTTAATTTTTTAAGGCCGCACAATTAAAAAAACTAAATATTTAGTTGTTTTTTTGTTTTTTAGTTTTTTTTTAGTCTTTTTAGAAGTTCTAAATACCTGGAAACCTTGAAACCTGAAGGATTTATTTGTTTCTATTTTTTTGGTAAGACCGCAAAACAAAAAGAACATATGTAGTTGTTTCATTGTTATTTTGTAGGTCTCAAAAAAAGAATATATTAAAAAACAAAAATAATTGGTTTTCGTTGTTTGATATAATTTGTTTTATATAACTTGAAGTGTCCTTTTATATATATATATTATGATAATATATAAGAAAAAATCGTACGTTACATTATACATGGAGGTCCCTCGTACATATATATATATATATGTATATATAGCTTTCAATCTCGATGTTCCACTCGTTTCCCGCCGTTTCCCCGTCGTCCGCGCCTGCGGGTCGCTCTTGGTCGACCCGGCCGCTTCATGGCGGTGTGTCGGATTCAGTGTGTCCAAGGGTGGGATCGGTGGGTCTCCACACAGTCTCATTCCTTTCCCACAGGTGGGTCTCCACAGTGGGATCGGGGTGTTCTCATTCCTTTCCCTCTCAATGTTTGAACATCATTTGATGCAACACAAGCCTGCAAAGAAGCCTCATATGGGTCAGAGGTTTAGTCACCTTAGTCACCTGGTTGCTGGACCGGATTGGGGTTCAACCTCTGTTGGAAACCAAATCGAAGTGGATCCCTAACACTTGGCTCTTCACTGAGTGGTCCAAACTACTTGGATGCAACAGCACCCAGGTAACCTGGTGACGTGCCAGTGGACACAAATCGATCCCCATCATCCATGTGAAGTCGGATAGTACAAGTAGCCTACCAAAAGTATTGTTTGTGAGCCACATTGATTGGTTTCTAGCCAACTGAACATTCCCTACCTCGAACCTCATGAGTCTAATCCAGGGGCGCATGCAAGTCTACTCAGATGTTGCATCATGTGAAGGTTTGCTTTGGTTGGTTGCTTTACCGGCTCATTGGTTGCTTGATGTGCAAGGGTGGTGAAGAGTGAGAAAACAGCTGTTGCGAACGGAACGAGTCAACTGCCATGCCCTGTCTACGGATGGACACAGGGTGCCACAAAGGCTATCGCCATCGCCATGTAGACTGGATACCTAGATCATCCAACTATGCCTTTTGGCTGGTTTGAGAGATGAACAGGTATACATGGTGCACTCTTTTTTTGCCGCAAAGCCCGTCTGAAATTACCGAACGAGTGGTACAGTCGCAATTGGGAATATCTACCTTGCCAAGAGGAGAATCCATCCATGGGACTGACATATTGATATACCGATCGCTCTGGAGCTGTTTGAGTTGTCAATTTAGAAGCCCTGTTTGCTTATAGCTGCTATGGATGGGAAGACGATGGTCCGCATTACAACCCCATCATGGCCATATTGGGTTAGTTCCAACCTGCTTCTGTTTGGGACTGACCCTGCCCGGATGCTTGGGAGAATCTCCCTCAGTCTACGTATGTCAACCGGTTGCTACATCCAAATCCCCCTTGGTGCTCGGTCCCCATGGAGACCGGCGCCCATTGGGAGTCCTGTGCTCATAGCGCTCTTTCCGCTCTTGCTGAGCGCGATGGACCTGGCCCGGCGCTCGTTCCGGTCTCGGGTGGTCTGACTCGTACCGATCAAGTGGATGGTCGTTCGCCTAAAGGTGGAGTGAATTCTTGGATAGCAATGACAGCCGTCAAACAGTAGACTCTTGATGATATACCGTATAGAAGAAGTATAACATCAAGTATATAATCAACTCTTGGATACCAATGTAGACATATGTAGACTCTTGATGATAATACTTCACCCCCGCCAGCCGTCAGACATGAAAAAACATCCAGGGCGGCCAGGGGGCTGTTCAATCAAGAGATCTACAGGTCCAATAGCCATGCTCTTGGGCTGGCAGAACCGAGGGCTGTCTTCGTGTGGGTGTGTAATGGGGAGACCCCCTTTCTCGCCGGTGGGGTAGACTGCATGGTCTCTGTCCTAAACCTTCCAGGAGGTCGGAACGCCTGGAAGGTCTGCCCTAGTTGAGCTCCACCACCACTCGAATTGACCCAATCCAGTCAGGTCCAAGTCGATGAGCCTTTCTTACTTGGTCTAGGGCCCTGTAGGCTTCAGATGGGACCGAAGGATCGAGGGTTGAACCCTTTGACTTCGCGTGTTCGCCCGCCCGTTTTCGCGTTTTCGCCCCGCCTCGTCCTTGCTGGGAGGCCCCGTGGGGAAGTCGAAGCGTGTGGCGCCTGAGGTATGGCCATAGTAGACCTGCGGCTTTCGGCCGAAGATTGGTGGCTGCTGGGTCAACCGATCCTGCTTTGGATGCCTGAGGTGATCCCAAGGGGTGTCCATGAAGCATCCCAAAGCGAGGGCCCCTCTAAGAAGTGGCCCATGTAACCGAGGTTACATGTAACTATATATTTATATAGTTAGGTTAAGGTCTCGTGTGTTAACGGAATTCGCCAAACAAATCACTCCACAAACTAAGAACGGCCATGCACCACCCATAGAATCAAGATGAATCAAGAAAGAGCTATCAATCTGTCAATCCTTACTATGTCTGGACCTGGTAAGTTTCCCTGTTGAGTCAAATTAAGCCGCAGGTTCCACTCCTGGTGGTGCCCTTACGTCAATTCCTTTAAGTTTCAGCCTTGCGACCATACTCTCCCCGGAACCCAAAGACTTTGATTTCTCATAAGGTGCCGAAAGAGTCATCATGCAAGTAATGACCTCCAATCTATTCTATGCAGACCGAGTGGAGGGTTTGAGGCGGTTTTCACGGGGACCCAGATTGAAAGACCTGCCGTAGACAAAACAATCCACTAACACATATATATTGTCCCTGGGGAGGGATTGCCCCCCGGGAAAAATACATCACCCCAAGCCAAAACCAGTATGCCATATCATTTCACCCCCAAAAAAGGACAGCCCAATGGCAAACTCTGAGAGTCCAGCTATGATATAGTGGTGGATTTTGACTGCAAAGTGGGCAAGGTGGTGTAAAACGAGTCATTGGAAGTTCTAGGGATCGGCCAAGATGCAAGTCTCATGGAGGGTTTGGAGGAACCCTCAATGGGTTTTGATCTGTTTCGTCACTGTTCAAGACCGTCTTGTGATATCACCGACAAGGTATGTTTGAAGTTTGAAGACCCCAAGTCATATACATTTTTGTCGAGGGCTCCAATTACATCCTGACAACCTTCCTCAGACGGGCTGGGTGCCAGGGGGTCTAACTATCTTCTGAGGATATGGTTGGAGACCGAGGGAACAAAAGTATTCAAACATGGTTGTTCGTATGATAAACACTTCATTCCCATAGTGACACACTATACTTCACTTCCATGATAGGTTTCAAGACCACTTCCGTTGCCACGGTCTCATCCACACCACCCGCTGCACCGCCGGGTCTCCCGGACCCCCCCGCGAGGGTGACTGGAACTGCCGCCAGCCCTCCGGCAGCTCCAGACCCTGACGTGTCTGGGACCTGTCGGTTGGATCGGAGAAGGGACACGAAGGGTCGGAAGGTCAAGTGGATGCAGTAAGTGACGGGGGTCAAGTCTCGCCTCCAGTCGGTGAGACTGGGACTGGGACTGGGTGCCAGGAGGGTCCAGTCATACCGAACCTGAGGAGGTACGACTGGAGGTGTAGGGAGTACAAGCGAAGTAAACACCAAGGCCGCCCTCTTTGAGCTGTAAGGTCCGATAATAAGCACGGACCGAAGTGACGTGGATGTCAATCTGCCATCGGGCCATCGGTGTGCCATCGGTCTTGCCCCAAGATCTTCTGCTGTCTAGAGGGTCGTGTCATTAGGTCCAGAGGCTTTGGAAACATGAAAGAACCCATACATGCAGCTCAGAAATGCACAAACCCTGGAACAATCATGGATCTGGAGGGCATGGCACAGTGAATAACTATTGAACACGAACACCAAACAAATATCTATCTCCACTTCCAGTCTTCCTACCCCTTTCCCTTCGCCGAATGGCGACCCTACCGCTCCCGCGGTGCGCGAACCACATCCGGTACGGTGCCCTTCCGCACTTCCGCAGGGCAACACCGCCGGGGGGTCATGTCCTCATGGTCCGTTTTCGGGGGACACTCCGTGTGTAACATGAACCCTGTACACTCCGTGACACTCACGCATCACGCATCGTTTCGTGGGCCAGGCCCACCCTGTGTTTGGTATTCGGAAGAACAAGTCTTCCGAGGCCAGGCCATCCACTTCCATGTGATGTGTGAGTGGAACGGCGAGTCAAACCTTCCTCCATCCCTCACAGTCCAACAAAAAACATCTAAACCATCATACCCCTTCGGCCCCGAATCCATCCGAATCTTCTGGATTGATCGGACCCGAATCCGGACTGGTCAGGGGTCGAAGGGTTCCAAGCAATCTCTTGTTTTGGAGGGACCGGAAGTAGGGTGGTTTTCACGGAGCATCTGGGCAATACATGGACACCATGTACATCTATTATCATCTATTTACCTTCATTGAAGATGGTTTGAAGGGGTCAAGGTAGGTCATAACTAAACATCAACATCGAATCCTAAGACCTCAACCTCGATGGCTTCGACCAGTCCCTGAGTTGTAGATCTATCCTGGAGTACAGAGGAACTCGAAATAGAATAACATGAAGCTGGTCAGTTCGGCCCCCAAACAATGAACCAACCCAGCCCAAAGTTGTCCTTCTTTGTGCTTGTTTCTGCCCCCCACCGCGCTTACACCTAACCCAAACACTCCATGGGACTGCTATAGGACTGCCGATCAGTTGGGACGGTTTTTTGGGGTCCATGTATAGGCATATATGATATATGGCAGTTCCATGGGTCGTGTCTGGGTCATATACCTACACCGGCCATAGGGCTCCGAACACATCTGAAGGTAGTTAGACTACCCTGGCCCCAGTCCCAAACTCTGAGTATGTGCTTGGATCCCAAAGACAGCTGCTAGTAAGCTACCTGAACCTACCTTCCACCTCTATGTCTGGGTCATATACCTACTCCCGGATGCTTTATTCGGATGAGAACACACCGACGACCTGAAGCAGCGGAAGGTTCACGCACCGCCGCCTCCGGGCTCCAGGGAAGATCCGAGGCTCCTGGGAGCGGAGCTCCAGCGCCCAGGCCATTGATCCGCCCTAAAACGGGATCATGGCCCTAAATTGATCTATGGGGGCACGGTTCGGTTTCCAATACAGTATACAGTACAGTGGGGATCTAATAGGGATCCATATCTATTGGCGGGTCTACGGATGAGATGGGTGTGTATTTTGATAGAGACCTCCTCTCTATCTCGCCCCTGGTTGGGTCGAGGTCTCGAACCGAAATTAGGGGTCCGGTTCCACGTTTACCCCGGTATCTGTCGTCTTCCTCCAAAAGCACGGGACTTTGACTGGCAATCGTTGGATATAAAAAAGCAATGAAGATCCCCGAATG